TGCCCTCTTCGATGGTCTTGATCTCGTCACGTTGTGTTGCAGCGGCCCAGGAATCCGGAGCAGCCGCCGTCGCGTCCCACTTCCAATCGGATTTCTGTTCCTGACGCTCTTGAGCATGTCGGGCTGTCCGTAAGTGGATGAAAAGACTTGAGGTACATGCGGCTCGACCAGCGGGCAGCATCAGGACCGGAGCTGAGACCAAGCCTCGCCTTATAACCGTCGGTGTCATTCTCAGCCTCTAAACCGTTTTCGTTGACCGAGGCAGGAAAAAAAGAATTATGGCCGCCGGACAGCTCGCACGACTCATACGCGTAGATGACGTTTCCAGCTCGGGCAAATGGCCACACGACAGCCTGGATTAGCAACCATGATTGGTTGTCAAGAAAAGGAAGCTACTCTTTTTTTTTTTTGCCTTTGGCCTTTTACCTTGGTCAAATTGTTGGTGGCCAACACTCATAAAAGGGGCGAGATGGAGGTGTTCGTGCGGTCTCGCGACATCCCACCCAGAACTCTGTCTGGCCTCTGGCCTCTGCTTCTGCTCCTTTAACGAAATTGACAAGGAACTGCTGACTTGGCTTGTTGGAGTTTTTTGAGGCTGCCAGCAGGGAAACCCGCGCCGAGCTAATTGCAATCGGGTTTCGAAATCCCATCCGAGCACTGCGTTTCTGCCGACTAATTCGCCCTGCTTCCATTGTACGGTCTTCCACACGGCCACGTTGTCGCCTCGTGGTTTGTGATTCTGGATCATTCTTAATTGCATATTACCTGCCAACAAGTGCCCGTCAAGAAGTCGGATATCGCCGGTCACAGCTTGCTTGCAGTAGCTTCGACACAACACAACGCCTCAACACCCCTGTCCATCATCACAGCAGAGTTACCGACATCCTGGCTGGCGGCACGCCATAGCGCACCGGACTGGGCTCCAATTGATTAGACTGGCCTACCGCAGCAACAAGTCTTTCGGTAGTGGCCCCGCTGACGAAGAGAAACTGTCTCTCCCTTGCTCGCATTCCGCATCTTACCTTGCTGGCGACATTTTCCCTGCTTCCATCCCGTCGCATTGAACCCGCATTGAGCGACAGACCACCTTGAATCGGCGGAAACATTGGTTTAAAACACCATCGCGACACTCGCATATCCGACCGCAAAAAGCTTGTAAAGGGCATAACGCGATCACGTCCTCACGACCACAGCCGATCCGATCCGGTCCCTTCTTTTTTATTTTTCCTCCCATCCTCGGGCTTGCGCTACGATTTCGTCCTCTCAACCTTTTGCGCACCGCAGCATCACATCACCAGTCCAGAAACCCCACGACCAATCCCGCCCGTGAACTCGTCAAAACACACAGCCAGCAGCACGACTGCAGAAGCAGAGCAGAACGCCACGCAGAGATGTCGCCCGCTGCGCAAGCGCCCCCGACGGCCGCCGAGAAGGTCGCCTCCTTCTTCTCCCGCCTGAGCCCCGTGCCGGCCTTCCCCGACTACACCGGCCCGCACAAGGTTGGCACCGTCGACATCGAGGTGCCCGTCTCCGAGCTCGAGTCGCCCAGCCCGACGCCCTACACGGCCACCGAGATACACACCGTCCAGTGCCGCGTCTTCTACCCAGCTGTGCCTGAATCCAACGGCAAGAGGATAAACTGGCTGCCCTCGCCCCAGCGCCAGCATGTCTCGGCGTACACCCAGTTCATTGGCATCCGCCCAATGGTGGCCGATATGATCTCGTATGCCTTCCGTCTGTCTTCCTCCTGGTGACACCATGAGCTGACAATCTTCCCCAACAGCTTCCTCCCACGGCACCTCCACTACACCACGATCCCCGTCCACAAGAACGCCGAGATCCTCGAACCAGACACCCCGAACCGCCGGTGGCCCACCATGATCTTCTCCCACGGCCTCGGCGGCAACCGCAACACATACTCCCACCTCGTCGGTTCCCTCGCCTCCCACGGCATTGTCGTCATATGCCCCGAGCACCGCGACGGCAGCGCCGTCGCCTCCTTCGTCCGCATCCCCGGCAAGCAGGACCAGTACTTCCTCCGCAACACCCGCCGCGTCGTCCCCTACGTCCGCCTCGACCACGACGCCCGCCCTGAGATCTACGAGGCTCGCGAGGACCAGCTGCGCATCCGCCTGTGGGAGCTCGGCCTCATCCACGTCGTCGCCCTCAACCTCGACCTCGGCATGGCCATGTCCAACCTCAACAAATCCACTCCGTCCCTTACCCCCTTCAAGAACAAGCTCCACGTCCACGACCCCGGCTGCATCCTCTTCGGCGGCCACAGCTTCGGCTCCGCCTCCATCGTCCAATTCCTCAAGACCACCTATTACGCAGAGTCCTCCGCTCTCGCCCACGTGCCCAAGCCCCTCTTCACCCCGCGCCGCGACTCCGCCCTCTGCAGGCAGGTCACCGAGAAGAACGTCACCATGCTCCTCGACATGTGGTGCTTCCCCCTCCTCGCCCCCGGCTCATCCGCCCTGTTCGACCTGCCCCTGCCCGCCTACGCCAACAAACCCGCCGCGCCGGGCGGCACCGCCATCCTCGCCGTCGAGTCTGATGCCTTCTACAAGTGGACCGACCACCTCCACGTCACCGCGCGCGTCCTCTCCCCGGAGCCGTCCTCCAACGTCCTCACCCCCGCCACCTTCCGTCGCAGCGGCGTGCGCCTCCCCGAGCCCAACTTCTTCTACGTCGAGAACTCGGCGCACCTCTCCCAGTCCGACTTTGGCATCCTCTTCCCCTGGCTGACCAAGAAGATCTTCAACTCGGAGGAGCCCGAGCGCGCGCTGCGCCTGAACCTGCGCGCGCAGCTGCAGCTTCTCCGCGCGAACAACGTGCCCGTCGCGCGGACGTGGATCGGCGACCTCGTCGACGGCACGGGGTCTGGCAAGATGGGCATCTCGGGCGACGAGGACGGCGACAACGGCCCCGACGATGGGCTGATGGACGACAAGGCCATCTTCGACAGGAGCGAGGGCAAGGTGCAGTTTTGGAAGTGGATCGACGTCATTGGGATGGGCTCGCCGGAGCAGACGCCCGCGAGCGCTGCGACCACGACCGCGACGTCGACGGCGGCGGCTTCGGGCGCAGAGGTGGTGAATGCGCAGGTTGCCGGGGTGGAGCAGACGGACCGGGACATGGAGGAGGAGCTGGAGCCGCTGCAGGCTGTTGCTAGCGCCGCGCAGCACCAGGCGGCTGCGGTGCGGGTGTAATTCACGATGGGCACATGGATAGACATGTGTATAATTCACGGGTTGACGATTACAGGTGGCATCACAGGTTAAAGACGGAGTTTGTTGGTTTGTATCGATTTTTCAGCATTGCGTGCGTTGAGCGCGCGGTAGATACCTCAGTCCTGGAGTACATACATTAGAACAGAATTCTTTACCGACATCGAGAAGCCGATGGGTATGCAGGTGATGACGATCGGCTGCATGTAGGGCCAAGACTAGAGAGGAACGGGTAGATCGATCTGGGGTTTCACATGCGTTTTTGCAATCGAATTCTGGCTGCTGGAATGTGGAAAAGGGCGATGACGGGATCGTCCGGTAGTCGCTGCTCTCAGCACGGCCGGCGTCGGTTGTAAGTCACGTATGGTCCAAGTCATACACGTCATTGAGATGAAGGCGTCAAGGAACCACCAGAACGCCATTGATTCGGCAACGGCTGCGCTTCGACTAGGGGGAGCACGGAGAATGCTCCTTAAATCAGCGTATTCCAGCTCTCTGCGAGTTTGAAGAATCTCCATCGATACGATAATTCATCCACAAAAGCAAATCCGTGCAAGAGCATTACACACACAATGGCCCCTGTAAGCCCAATCTTCTCCCTCCTCGACCGCTTCGGCGCCAGCGCCAGCACCAGCTCGAGTCCCTCCCACTCACACGCACCGCAGCAGCAAAAGCAACCCGAGCGCCTCAAGCACGTCGCCGGCGGCAACCCCTCGCAACTAGGCGACCCCGTCTCGCTCAAGGCCGAGGTGTCGAAGCTGGTGCCCACGGAGGGCGACCAAGGCGCGCAGAGCTCGGGAGGAGCTTCCAACAAGAAAGGCGGGGTGCTCGGCGCGAAGAACTCGGACGGCAGCCCGGTGCAGGACAAGGAGAAGAAGCGTTTGAAGCAGATTGCGGAGGAGAACAACGAGGCGGGCAACCCGTCGCAGCTGGGCGATCCGGTTAGTCTGAAGGCGGAGACGAGTAGTACGGAGCCGGGGGGGGAGGCGGATGGGCAGAGGAGGGAGAAGTCGAAGCTTTGAGGGAGGATGATATTTGAGATCAGCACCAACCAGAATCATTAGCCTAATTCATTTTTTGATTCTTTTGAATCATGGAGCAGCACGTATCTCAGGCTCGGGCGACTGGTCATTATGAAGCCTGTTCCATAATGTTCCGGGATGCGACCGGGCCCGGCGCCGGGTCTTTGCCGAACCCACTGTTCGCCGTACGGTACACGAGGGTTGTTATCACTGCCGTATTCATCCCGGAAGCTCACACAGGTCAATTCACAGGCATAAGGCTGGGATCTTCTACCGACCGCTAAAATGTTGACGTCTTGGCACCTGGGATATTCCCGCGACAGCAAGTCCACAACAGGAAGCTGGTTAAGGTTATTTTCGTCTCCATGCCGTCCAAATTGCGCCTTCCAACAGCACACAACACCACATGCACGCCTTTTGATCTGATCATCGTCCACTCCCGCGATACGAGGCGACGTGCCTCGGGAGCCTTTCTCATTCCGGCAGTTCGCTCGACATCCTTGCTCCCCCGAGCATCCAGCGTCACCCCCGCGGTGGAGTTTCTCGCGATTTAAGCAGTCCGCCAAGAGCCCAAGCCCTCGTGTTCACGATGGCCCCATGGGTTGACATGTTTATCTTGGCTATTTGCGCCGTCATTGCTGGGCAGGTTGCTCTTGTTTAAATAGGCGGTGACAAACGGCCCCGTGATGGCTTCGAGGTGTTCTGCTGGTTAGCCTTTCGGTGAGAATCTGCTCGACTTTTGGCCAAGATGAAGTTCCCCCGCGCCACCGCTGTTCTGCTTTCGCTCGGCGCATCGCTGGCGTTGGGTAAACTCCAATGCGTCAACGACGACACCCTCGCCGCGGCCGAGCTCCCTCAGATCTCGCTGCCGACACACGTGAAGCGGCAAGATGTGCCAAAGGAGGTTGACGTCTACTTCCACGTCGCCAGCACCGAGGCCAACCAGGACAGAATCAGCGACGCCACCGTCGACGCCCAGGTAACCCATCCCCCCTCCTCTCCAAAACACTCATATCACTAACACACAGCCCAGTTCGAAGTCCTGCACTCAACCTACCTCCGCCACGGCTTCTCCCTTAACCTCGTCAACGTATCCCGCGTCGTCGACGACGTCGCCGGCAAGGGCTTCTACGACGACGAGGGCATCGGCATCCCCGACTACGACGCCTACGTCGCCTGGCGCACCGCCACCCGCCGCGGCGCCTACGACGCCCTCAACGTCTACTTCTTCAGCGACCTGAACGAGGGCATCGGCGGGTACTGCAACCTCGCGGGCGTCGTGCAGGACGGCAGCCAGCAGTTCTATCTGGACGGGTGCTGGGTCAACGGCGACAGCATGCCGGGCATGGTCCCCCGCAGCAGCGCCGGGAACGAGACGGTGGTCCCGAACAAGGGGCACATTGCGATCCACGAGGTCGGGCACTGGTTTGGGCTGTTTCACACGTTCCATGGCCGGTATTGCGACGGGATCAATGATCAGGTGGCGGATACGCCGGCGCAGGCGGGCGCGAGCTCGGGGTGTCCTGTGGGCAGGGACTCGTGCCCGGATGCGCCTGGGCTGGATCCGATTCATAACTTTATGGATTACTCTGACGATACTTGGTAAGTTCTGATGATGGCGGTGGAGAGGGAGATTCGCTGACTGGAGACGTAGCACGACGGAGTTCACCCCGGGACAGGAGGAGAGGATGCACCAGCAGTTTGACGTTTATCGCAGGTGGCAGGGATAGACCAAAGGACACGATGGGTAAATGCATTCTACGTTTTAAGAGAAATAGACTAGAAACCAAAGACATTCTCGTCCTCCTCGTAACCCCATTCTGGGACCAGTTAGTACAACACACAACACTTTGAGATGTGGCTTCTCACCTTTCAATGCCGGCAACGCAGCCTTTTGGATCATCGCCGGTGGTCCGCAAAGGAACAAGGCACTGTCATCCGACGGAGCGAACGAGTTCTTCCTAAGAACTTTGCCGTCAACATGGCCGCTCAAGCCATCCCATTCACCACTGGGGTGGCTCAAGACATGCGTGACCTTCAATCTCCCCCCGCTCTTCTTCACGAAACCATCAAACTCCTTTCGAAGAAGGATATCATCCTCCGTCTTGTTCGCATCCACGACCCGAACTTCTGTTTCGTCATCACCAGACTCCACGATTCTCGCAACGAGGGAGTACCCCGGCGTAACGCCCGATCCGCCTAGCACCAGAGAAACCTGCCGGTACACGCGCTCCTCGCCGTCAATGATAAACCTACCATTACCCTCATACGTGATCTCACCCGTCGGCCCGCGGATCTCCACTCCGCCTCCGATGGGCATATAGTGTAGAATGTTGGACATGGCTCCGCCGGGCTGCTTATCAGTCGGGAAGTACGTCTTGACCACTATCTCAAAGGTGCCGTCGCCGTCTGCGGGGCCATGCTTCTTGACTCCATTCCCGTTCTTCTCAGCTACCTTGCTAGGTGCGTTATCCGCAGCTGGTAGGATGGGACGCGTCGGCGTGGAAGACCGCACGAGCATCTTGTCCTTCAGATGGAACCCAATCAAGACGTGCTAGCAAGTTCCCAGTCCCAGAACTGCTTGATGGTCTGGTAGTTGAAAGGTGTAGGAGAATGTATCGTCTGAAAGCGCCTTGCGGTTGATAAGCTTGGTTGGAATCCATTTGTGCTTTTGCAGCGCCCGCTTCTCGTTGCTGTTGTCCTTGGCTTTCTCGGCCGCTGCCTTTTCGGCATTCTTCTTAATGAAGTTCTTGGCCTTGTCGGTGACAACACCGAGCAAGCATTCTGCAACGTCAGCACCCCCCCAAAAGCCGGCGCAAAGCTCATCTTACCGGTCAACTTCTCATAGGCGAACCCATCATGAATACTCTCAAACTCCTCCGTCGCCTCCTGGTGCACCCTTCCAGCATGCGCCATAATCGGCGCCTTACCTCCAGGATGCCACGCCATAACCGACGTTGCATCATACACCTTTCCATCCACGACAATCCAGCAGTCATCCTCCTTGTCATGCTTCTCAATCTCCTCTCTCGTAAACTGCTTCTGCGGCGTCCCAGCATCACGCTTAGCCGCCTCCACCTGGTTCACCACACTAGGCTTCATCCACCCTCCCTCCCCCGTCCCAGGCTCAACAGGATGCCGGAACAACACACAAGCAGCACCCCCTTCTTCCTCCGCCCCCACAATCTCCGACTTGACCGCATACCAACAGTTATTCATCATCCCCATCAGATTCCATGCCGGCTTCTCGGGCTGGGTGTTCTTAAACACATTAAAGCAGCGCACCTTGATCTCCCTCGCCTGGATCAGATGCGCCAGCGGCACACCCACATGCCAATGCAGCCACGTCCAGAACTTCTTCCCATGCCGGATCGGCGCCTCGGGGAACTCGCAGATGCAGTACAACCACGTCTCCCCGCCGTCCAGCGACACCTCCACCTTCTGCACCTCATGCCCGCCGCCGTCGTACGCAAACCCCTGGACGCGGTACACCTTGCTCCCCTGCGCGTCCGCGAGGCTGATCCTCTCGCCCTGCTCAGGGCACACGATGACCGAGTTGAGGTTCTGCTCGTTGCACGCGGTGCTCGGGTGCCGGAACATGGTCTCCGCGAGGGCGCTCTCCATGTAGGTGATGAAGGACGGCAGCACGCGGTTGTCCCAGATGTGGTAGTGCGAGGCGTTCTCCGTCTCGGAGATCCAGATGCGCTTGAGCCATTTCACGTTGCGCCCGCCGACGTAGCCCGGGACGATGAGCCGGACGGGGTAGCCGTGGTCGGGGGGCAGGGGGACATCGTTCATCTCGTAGGCGAGGAGGACGTCATTCATCGGGTCCATGGCGTAGTCGAAGGGGATGCTGGTGGCGTATTTCCCTTCGCTTAGCTCGTCTGCGCCTTCGAGGTTGACCCAGTATCGCTTGGTTTTGCTGAGTTCGTCGAGGGTTCCGGCTGCGAGGAGGATGTCTCTGAGGAGGGGACCCTTCCAGTAGGCGCAGCTACCTCCGCCGGCGCCCCAGTTGAAGCCCTTGGACTTGCGGATGAGGTTGAGCTCCTTTCGGCGGTTGCCGTCGCAGGCGAGGTAGACTGGGATGTTGACCGTGTCAAAATTGTTCTTGAGCTGGTCCATTGTCAGGACGAGTCTGCCGTTCTCCACGTCGAGGGTGTGGTATTCCCAAAGAAGGCGAGGGACGGGGCCATGGTTCCTGACGTAGTGTAGCTCATTCGGCGTTATCAGCCCCGCGTCGAAGAGCTTCGTGAGCTGGGGCTCGGCGTTGAGGGGATGCTTCCCAGTGAGGCGAGTAAGCTCAGGACTGCGCGGGAGCCAGTTGTCAGGGGTGAATTGGTCGGCTTCGTCTATGGCAATGTGCTCTCGGTGGCTTTTTTGAGGAGACTCCCGTTTTCCGTCGTTAGTTTCAAGCTTCTTGATGTAGTCGCTCTCGTGTTCCAGTCCCCGAAGAAGCGCAAGCTCGTGGTGGGAGTACTTGTTTTCCGGCTTCTCTTGGCCTTCTTCGTCCTGGTGTCCGTTCTTATCCGAATTAGTCTCATCATGGCCATTTTGATTCTGGCTGTCACAATGCCCGTCTTCTCCATTCTCCTTGCCGGCGTCTTTCTTTTTTGCTTTCTTTTCCGCTTCCAGCTTCGCGGGCCACTTCTGTCTGTACTTGACCCATTCTTCGGTGACGTTGAGCACACACCGCCATCCAACTGACCGGTTCCCTGGATGGCGGAGACTAAGATTCTCTTGGGCCCTGATAATATCTTCAAAGTTGACGAGGTCTCCATTGTCAACGCGCGTATGGTGTGCACTCAGCTTTCCCTCTATTCTTCAACGTATCCGGGCACGCGGTCATCTTTTTTCTTGAAGCCGACATGAGGGTTGTGCCCCGACCCCCAGTTTGGCTCATCATTGATTTCTTGGTGAGATGAGCCTGGATGGTCCTGTTTCTGAACGACGAAATGGCTGGTTGCACCCATATTCCCAATTTGGGCGGGGTCATGGGAAGTGAAGCAAGAATATGGATAACAAGATAGGGAATACTTCTGACAGCTCTATTGAATAAACAAGAAATCAATGGAAGAGAGCGGATTCATTATGACATGTATCATGTTTGGTATGACGTCGATGAATCTTCGTCATGAGGCCCCGGGTGGACTCACTTACTTAGCACCTGATTTGAGCGACGATGGCCGATCGCGTCGTTGTAAACTAACCTAGGTCGGGACCACAGGCTTGCAATGTGAGACCAACCTTCCCTGTTCCGGTTACGAACTTGGTAAGACGTGGGAGGGAACACGACGGTATGAAGCTGTAGATCTTCAGGTTATTAGGTTCGCCAGAGTAAAGGCAGTTCAAGAGAAGACAAACAAGGACACAACCATATTGGTTCTTTGTTTGATTTATATTGGTACCTGCTAATTGAGTCGTTGAGAGGATGTTTCGAAGTCTCGGATAGGCGGAGGACCTAGCATGCTTAACCGGGCGTTTTCCTACGGAACCAAACGCTCTAAGCCCTCTCATGTCTTAGGAAGGTCTCTTATATTTATGGGTTATGTTGCTTGTGTGCTTGTGAGCTTTGCAGCTCGCATCAACAAAAGATCTCGAGTTTGAGTTGTCCTGTTTACTATCGCAACCGGGAGCCAGAGATGCCAGCTCCTGCTTAGCGACCCTTTGCTATCTATTCTGGGACGGGATGTGGACTCCCACTTGACTTGATACTTTTCATCCTTGTACCTCTTAGTAGTAAAAGGCGCGCCGTAATGCTGCCTCGTAACTCTTAACTCTTAGAATTATTCATGTTCTCGCAAATTGATTCAATGCCTCGCCTGTCTTTTTATTGGGAAACGGTTAGAAAGACCACCCCCTAGGAATTTCTGTTACTAAACTTCTAATATAAAACTTGAAGATACGCTCTCACTAGCTCCTAATACTGTATTTCCAAATCTTTGCTGTCATGTCTCCCGAACCTGTAGAAAAATAACCCGCAGCGGGGCTCGCGGCTACGCTGATGATCGGGGCCGCGTGACCCGCCAATGTCAAGACGGCTTTGCCAGTATGGCTTTCCCATAACATTACCGTCCGATCATTGGAGCAAGATAGAACCAAATTGTCATTTGGAGTAGAAGCCACAGCAGCTACGCTTTGCTGGTCTTGTATTAGCAGATGCGCAAGGGGAAGTTGACGATGCATGCTTACCCAATGTCCCTCAAGGATCCTCGAGCAAATACAATTACCAGTGTAGAGTCCTCCAGGCCTTAGCGACCTATCTGGAAGTGAAAGATACCAAACCTTTACCGTTTTGTCGAGAGAGCAAGAGAAGAACTGCGACCCGACTGCTGAAAAGTTGACACCATAAACAGACTCATTGTGGCCTGCCACATGTGCTATTTTGTTTCCCGTGTCGATATCCCAAATCTGAATTTGGCCGTCCGAGCACCCAGAGGCAATTAATCTTAATCTTGAATTCGGACATGTTGCAACACTTATGACGACAGCCTCTGCGATCATTGTTTTAACCGCATCTTTCGTACGAAGATCCCACAGGCGAATGGTGTGATCGGCAGATCCGGACGCAACAATGCCTCCACATGCAGAGACATCAACGGAATTAACAGCATCCGTATGCCCCTCAAAGACAGTGACGATCTCCGTTGTTTGGATGTCGAAAACCTGTAGAAATCTATGAGATCTTCATGGAAGCCTGGGCGTGGTCTGATCAATCTGGGGGCAGTTTTACTTACACGAATTACATAATCCCAGCTGCTAACAACAAGTCGTTTGCTGTCGAGTGTGAAGCATATGCCCTCAACGCCTAGATCTTCAACTTCATTTGGATGAGAGAGAGTTAAGACGGCAGCGAGCTCTCCACCCGCCACCTTGTATACCTCTACTGTCCCGTAACACCCCACGGCAAGATACAAGCCATTGGGGCTGAAGCAAACGCAAGATACTTCACTGTCAGGCGACAATGTTTGGACAAGGCTGATGTCCACTTTGGTCTCCACAGGTGGGTTGGAGACTGCGTACCAGCCCTCGCCCCTTTGATACTCCGGTGCTGCAATTTCCGTGCGCATTTCCGTTGGGCTCTCGATTCCAAACCCACCAGACTTACTCTGTCCGGGGCCCGGAACGTTCTGGCTAGTTGGATTCTGAGAATGACGTGCTTCTCGTCTTGAAGCAGATAATTGACTCAAGCGTTCTGTCTCCTTCCGTGCTCTAATCTTGTACTTGGGACCCCCTTTCGCGTGTTCTTTGGCTAGGTGTCTCTTCAGAGCCAGAGTGGAAGGGAAGGCGGGCCATTGACAGCCTGGCACCTCGCAAGAAACTCGTGGGCTGTGCGTCTTTTCGTGTTCGTCCCGGAGATATTCGCTTTCAAAACCTGTGCTAGCCAGTGGGCAAGATAAGAAACTGCAGGTGAACGCCGAGCAACGAAAGTCATGCTTGAACCTTTCGAGCTCCTGCACAGTGACTCCGGGATGGCTCCATAATTCCAACAATTCTTTGACTGTATGCTGATAGTTGAACAGCAGTGTGGAGAGGCTCGTAATGATTGCAAGGCCATCTGTGGCTGCATTGCTGAGGATAGGCTCTCTTGCCCGCTCCAGCTCGATGGATCTCATTGCAGTCAGAATTTTGTCAGAATTTCGGGATGACTATCGAGACCACGAATCCGACTGTAAGGAAGTCGGGTCCGTAGCTCTTGGTCCTTGTCTTGGCGTAAAGAATTGAGAGCAACTGAAAGCTCATGTGACCGACGAAAGAAAAGCGAAGTTGTGTCGAGGCCGGTTCTTGAAGCAGCAATGCTGAGTAGATACTCCATCCAGTACTCCGAAGCATAGACGTGAAGACCATGGAAGCCACGAAGTACACGCAGTCGCCGTTCTAAAATCGGGCCCGTTGGTTGAAAGACTTCTAGTCCTGACAACAGACAAGCTGTAATTGAAAGACCCTGGTCTTGTACTTGGTTGAATTCATTAAGACACACCGTGCTTTTTGAACTCATGAGGAAAGTATTGCTTGAAATTAATCAATTCGGTATGCGAGTGGCATCATATAATAAAATACACTTACTCCTTCACAGAAATATGGATGAAAGCAAATGTCGTATCGCTTCGCTCTTCAATGAGCGGCATACACATGTCAAAGAGATATTTTGGGGCAAGCTCTTGAATGTTGACGCCATCGTTTTCTGCAGAGAATGATAGAGCAGATCTTAGTTCCGCCTTTCGGAGAGGCCTTTTGGCAAAGGCAATCCAGCCCATGATTGATTGCAGACGAGATACAGAGCGTTGGTCGAAATGTGAAATAATCTTAGCAAGAATTTGTGCGTAGCTACTTCAGTTAGATTCACTAATCTCCCAAACAAGTTCAAAGTTGGCATACAAATCGCTTAACTCACGAGGAAGAGCGTCAACTGCGTCTATCACTTCCTGCTTTCTTACAAACATGTTGTTTGTCAGGTAGTTCAACACAAGTCGAGCCCAAAGAAACATGCCTAAAGCTAAGTTAGGGGATAGTTGTTGACGTAACCTTTCAGCTTAAACTTACCGTCAGCCTTTGTTGCCAACTGAAGCTCAAGACATTTGAGTTCGTCCTCCTTGAAGTCCATTCTCCGTTTGAGCTCGCTAAGTCTCTGGGCAGCGTAAGATGCTATGGCGTTCATTATCGCCTCTTTCTCCTTCGAACCTGAGAGTGAGATGCAATGCTTCTGCTTCAGCTTTCTAGAGATTGCTGGCAGCATGGTACTCGTCACTAAAATCTTACAGACCGTCGATGTGGCGGCGAAGGCCTTGGATACCATTCGCTCCAGTATGCTGATAACTTTAGGCTGATTTTCCTGGTCGCATTCGTCTAGCCCGTCCACTATCACGTGTACGTATGTTGTCTGCGATGGATTGTCGGACACAGCCCCGATCACCTCCAGGATCAAACTCTCAATCACTTGCGCCTTTACACCCCTCTGGTTGAGAATGAATTCTTTGTAAATGTAGGCAATCAGGTGGCTGTTATGTTGAATGAGTTGCAGCAAAATTGACCGGATGACTTGGTCATAGTCCGTGGATGTCCCTTGGAAATAAGTGCATATGTAAGAAACGACCATGGAATGGCCCGAGGACCGAAGAAATGTTGCTATTCGGGTCGCTAGAGCGCTTTTGCCTGTTCCTGGACGGCCATGTAGTACTAGAAATGTTGACTCCATACTACATTTCATCCACGTCGATATTCTTTTCTGGTTCAAAATCCAGTCGCGTGCTTGGGAATACTTCTGAAGCTCGGCTGTTATCATGTCGGAAATCTTGGCCTGTTGGTTGTTATCAATCTTGAGCCAGCCGACGATGTCGAGTAAGTATTTCGCGGTGCGTTCCCTTTCTTGTCTGTCGACCTCTTCTGCTGCCTCGCGTCGCAAAACTTCCACATGCTCCCTCATCTGTTTCATCTCTGAAAGACCTACTACATTGGCGGTATTGTCAACGAGCTTCTCATGAGCTTTGAGGTCGTCGATAATGCCGTCAAAACGGCGCTCGAAGTGACCCCAGGATGTCATGAAAAAAACCTTCCAGCCTATGAATTCGTTTAGAAATGAACCTCTCGTCACCTCGTGTGTGGGAAACATTTCTTACCGGCTCTGCGAACGAATTTGTAGGCCTCTTTATGGAATCTAAGAATGTCAGAGTAAAATAAGGCGAACGTATGTTGGAGCTCGACGTTAGTGTCGAATGTCTGATGCAGAATCTTGAACCGAGCCAAAGGCTCTGCAATGCGACTATACGCTCCAATGATTCTA